ACACAAAATGAAAGCTGCTTGTAGGGGCTTTGACAAAATATGCCAAACTTCTAAATACATTAGCATTTAATGTTGTTTTAACAGCCAGTAGCCGGAAGAATTTTGCCAGAAATTTTAAGCATAGACACATGAAACCAGTAACAAGGGGTTGCAAGTTGACATTGAATAAGTTTAAGGGGCCAACACTACCTTAATCAGTCATTTTTTCCAATTTTTTTTCCAAAAATTGAGTATGACAAATTTCAAAATTGAGTACTACGCTACACCTGTTTTTAATTTTAGCATCATTATGCAGAGATGTGTGAGAACCTGATAAATCATACGAGATCCCCACATAATACTGTCTGTGCAAACAGGGTTTACAGCTTTGTTTTTTTGTCTTTGTCCTCCTCTCTTTGCTCTGGCCTCATTCCTTGTTTTTTCTTTTCCGTCTGCAGCGTGCGGCCGTGGTTTCTACAAGTCTTCCTCCCAGGATCTTCAGTGCTCTCGCTGTCCGGCACACAGCTTCAACGACCGCGAGGGCTCCTGGCGCTGCGACTGTGAGGATGGCTACTACCGAGCCCTCTCTGACCCTCCGTCTGTGGCCTGCACGAGTAAGTCTGCCATGTCGTTGCTAGGTAAACACAGCGGCAATTGCTTGTCCGGGATCTGAATTTAAACAGCCGCACAGGGAAAAAAAACACACGCCAGACCTGTTCAGTCAGTCTGCAGTGGTCTCATGAAAGCCCCAGATGTGTTCCATAGCAGTTCCTCTGCCTCCCACTATGTCATTATAATTATGTTTGCAGGCTTGCATGTCTGTTTTCTGTCTTAGCTGGTTGCTAATGATGAGAGGAGCAATTTGCCATTTCCCGTCTGAAAGATTGCAATTACAGTCAGCAGCGGCAGCCCAGGCAGCACCCTGCGTCTTCATTTGTCCTGGCCAGTGTAACAGTTATGTGACAGCCATTGATGGCTTATTTACACAGGCCGGGGGATTCAGACTAAAGGGTGGGGCTGATTTGCTTCCAAATCCATTCTCAAACATGGCTGCTTTAAGGTGCTGCTGCATGTTTTTTTTTTTTTCTTCTTCCCATTGCCTTCAGCTACTGTGTGCGGGGAGTGGCACACCGAGTGGGGCAATGTTAGCACTCTGCTTTATCTCTGGAGGTAAACAGCACCCCTAAACATAATCTTTGCACCTTATCTGTGTGCCTTCATTCTGCTGATAATGTATCACAAGAGTCCTGGATAGGCCCACAGGCCTCTGGCTGCTACATACACACCCCTGTCATTCTGTTTTTTTTTTTTTTTTACATATCTATTAAGGAGGAGAAGGGAAAAATTAACATTTCAGATTGTGGTTATTTAGTTTGTACCATTTTCTGATGATTAAAAAACAACAAAAACAGACATCCATATGCAGGAAAATCAGCATGCCTGGTTCACATCCCGAGCAGCACTGCTTTTTCCCTCAACACCCAAAGTAGGCCAAGTCAGAATCTCTAATGTATGTGTGTGTGTGTGTGTGTGAGAGAGAGAGAAAGAGACAGAGAGAGACTGCTGGTGAGATATTATGCAAATACTGGAATGTTATAGCGCCGCATTGGCTTGTCTATGCATTAAATCAGAGAATCAAACAGACGATTATACAGGCTAGTGTTTGCATTTAATGTTGCAAATATTATATGAAAAATGATTCTTTGTCATTTATGAGTGTCTGTAAAGTAGCTCGTGGAACAACATGTCTGTCTCTGCCTGCCCCAAACTCTTTCTGTTTATTTCAACATATCATTAATGCACCTTTTCTTAGTGAAAAAATGGAATCAGGAAAAAAAACATTTTAATTAAAACAGTGGGGAAGATAAGGGGTTGCACAAGAACATTTTAAGGTCATAACTTGCAGAAGAAAGTTATTCTTCTCTCATTATTAATGAGCTACGATTTCCCACAAGCATTATCTATCACTGAAATATCAGCCTTCTGTTTTGCATTTTAGCCGGCTGTTTTCCTCTCTGTGCTTGGGAAATTTGGAAGAAATGTTTTCAGTGTTTGGGTCTGTCTCAAGCTGCTCCCTCAGTGTATTAGCTAGTGGACTGTCCAGTGAGCAGCCAATTCCCCTTTACCACAGTGCTAAAATAGTTCCAGTAGACTGGATTAAAGCTCTCCAGAAAAGTAGCAGAATCTAGAATCTAGATCTATATACTAATTCTAATCATGATTTGAGCATATAGTGGTATCCACTATGGAAAATTGTCATTATTCTTGAAATTCTGAGTTTTTAATGGACACTGTTGTACCACAATGCAATGAAGGAGCATGGCGCTTAAAAGAAGTGGAACAAGTGGATTGTGGTGTGACAATGTGGCTACAGCACCAACAATAAATAAATTAAGTAGTAAATCTTTGAAAAAAACATTTTTGACTTACTGCTGGTTGGGGATCGGGGGTCTCTAGGGGCCCAAAGATAATTTCTGCCCAGGGACGCCCAAATCGGTTAATCTGGCCTGGTAATTTCCTGAACTCTGGGTAGAAATGTTGATGTGCTGCTTGGGAATCCCATCACATGTGACTGACTCATCAGTGTCCCATTATTCATTTAAACTGTGACATTACACTTTAAAGTGATTCACTACATGTGAAAATATAGCAACCTACGTGAGACACACCCTTCCTTTTGCTTTCCTTGGAGTCACATGCGGGCATCATTATCACTTGCCATTTACTCTTTCTGGAAAAGGAAACATCAAAAGCACAAGCTGGGTTTATAAGCAATAAAACACACATGCTAAATTCACTCAAAGATTTTGCTGCCACAGTCTTACTTGGTCTGGTGTGACCAGTATCTTATGGTGGCTAATGTTAGCTTACATTAGCAAACATTTGCTCCTGTTATGCTACATTTAGCAAGTCACAGACAAAAATTTCAATGATTTTATCTCGAAAGTAAAACAAGAAGAAAACAGGAGACTTGTTTGTTTGCTGCTTGCGGTTAGATTCCTTTAGCTGAGTCAGACCTCCTAATGCCTGTAAAGCAGCAAGCATAAGTGTCACTTATGGCTACAGTGGCTGCTGTTGAGCAAAAGTTGCTTAGTCTTGCTTTAGATGTAACGCCACATGATGTTGTGTCTAATAATTTCAAACAGGCGAAAATGCCAGATGGCAGAACCGTAGAATGTGAAAATCAGTTCAATCAATTTGAACATATTAAAGTTCTTTACAGGACTTAGATTTGTCTGTTTATCTCCATAGAGCAGACCAGCACATATTGGTACTAAACATTGTACAAAACGTCACAGCTGTACCTTTTTTTAAGGAATAGAAAACCAAAGATCCTATAGATGTCAATGCAATTTGACATATGATTTGAAAAAGTTTGCATGCATTCATTTTGTATTTAACAAACTTTTACTTTATACATATGTCTAATTATTATTTAGAGATGTTGCCTGAACCTCAGTGTCCGTGATATCCTGGCCAGGCATTGCTTATCCAGACATCTATACATATTTCATTGAATCAAACTGCTACACAAAAAGAATGGCATTTTCCTGTTTTCTTGGCTCAACAAAACTTCTGCTAATCTCGACTCGCCATAGTTTCTCCCATTATATGAATCCTTTCCCCCAAAAGGGGGAATGGCCTTGGTGCTTTGCGCTTGACGTCTGGTCTATTCCCATCAGCGTCTGACATAAACAAGGACATAACTCAAGCTAAGCAAATTTGAGGCTGGCCAACAACCACAAACCACCAATCTCTCTCAGTGTAGCACAGAGGCAACCATTCAGACCCTGTTCTAAAAGACAGGTCCATTACTCACTTCTCCAACCATCCTAATCGGATGTTAACGCTTCACTCTAACATCTCCCACTGATCAAGGGCAGGGACTCACATGCGGTGGTTAGAACAGGAGAAAGTTCCCACTTCTTAGCAGTGTCCTCTGGCTGTTCCCTTCTGGGTAATCACCTTGGCCAAGTAGCGCAGTAATTACTGAAGTTGCCTAATGCACACTTTCCATTATTCATTTTCATTAACTTCGGGTCTACACTTGATGACCCCATACCATTATACGTAAATATGTATTTTTAACTTGTATGAATAGCTTCGCCCTCCTCCTCATTCACCCAGCACAATTTTTGCACAGCTTTCTGTACGTGCATTTCCTCATTCATCGCTGGATTAAGTCAGTGTGACCAATAGTCACTGTGATTTCCTTTTTTCAAGCCTTATCCAGACCAGGAGTGAATAGTAATTGAAAATGAATTTGCACTGCCTGAACAAATAACTTGATTGACAGATTTTTTTAAATAGGGGTTTGTAAAGCTACCATATTGTAGGCCTTAGCAAAACAGTGAGATGGATCTCTGGCACACAGAGATTAAGAATGTGTCTATGAGGATTTGAGAGGAAATGAGATGAAGATGTAATGTGGGGACATGAAAAGGCAAATCCATGCTGAATAAAGATGAGGGAAGAAGTTCCAAAAACATAGCTCCAAATACATTGTCTCCCATGTGGTATGTGTTGAGAGGGGGCGGGAGGAAGAAAGGCTTTTGTTTGTTGAATGTTTGTCCATGCCATTCATATGCAAAGTTATGAGAAAATTAGATATATGTGGACGGCCATGGGGAGGTATTTTCTCCAGAGGCAAGGCACAGGCCGGAGTTGTTGACAGGTTGGGGAGTGGGCATCAATCACACAACAGCTGTGAGCAGCGCTGGTGCAGGCGAGGGGCTGAAAAGGGCAGTTGTGAGCAGTCATCTCCTCCTCCCAGTCCCCCGCCACCCCCTCTTAAAATGTGCCACCTCAACAAGTTGACATCCGTCAGACGGTCAATCCTGCCTGGAGTTGCTAGGGGACTGTGAAAGGGCTACAGAATGTAGGGGCTAGTGTTGCTACCAGAGATCACATCTAACACTATAACTATAAGCTCAGGCCCAGGAATTCAAGTTTAATCCACTTGCTACCAGTTTTAGATCACTTGGCTAAACTGTTGCCGTGTTTACAACCTGTCTGATAGTGTGACTGCTCGGGTTTCTTCCCCTGTCAGACCTTTTTGTAGCAATGTCTCCCAGATTACTTTGGTCAAGACTGGTTGAATGAACGAACGATTGAACGAGCCTTGGGGCAAAAATTAGCAGTGCCTCTTCCTTTTGTTGATTACATTTTGATTGAAAGAAACTTAATTTAAGAATATGTTCTACAAAACATTTTTAAGATGCTAAATTTAGATTTTGACAGAAGGCCCTTTACAAGACAGAACCTCAAGAACACATAGGTAAAATGCAGGAAGAATGGTTTAGATCAGAGGGCAGGCCTCCCCAGGGTGGCTCCAAACAGTTTCAGGGGAAGCTAAGTGAATGGAAGTGATCAAACATTGTATTAGTTATTACCAAAGAAGATCACATAAAATAGCCTAAATGTATGTGTTTCGGTTACAGAGATAGTAACAGTAGTTTTGTGGAATTTTACAGTTTACAGTTTTAGAGTCCACTTTCCCAGAGTAAGAAACAGTATAATCATAGCTGGCCCTATGTTGGACCAGACAGTAGTCTTTTTCTGTTTGTTTGTTTTGGGCAATGGTTTACAAGTGTTTAGGTCTTGTTTCCTGGCT